TTTCAGCTTTATTTTCAAAGATGCTCAACTTCAGGCATGAAGGAAGCAATTAATTTTTAGCATTCAAAAGGGTGAAGGAGGAGGTATTGGAATAATGGGATAGACCATAATTACACATTCTTGCTGTCATTTTATCCCTGAAAAAAAGTATTTAATGAAGCCTGATATTTGTAGCAGTCATTCTCATTGAATTGAGTCATTGTTAACCATAAATAGAGCAGGATTATTCCTTAAACATGGCATTTGCCCAGAGAGAGAGAGAGAGAATTGGGCTTCTAAGTGCTGTTCCTCAGAATAACTGGTCTTCCTTAGGAAGCTTTTATCTATGTGTAGCAGCCACCCCAGGTCTCTTTAGAAGGAACCAAATCACTCACTATCCACAAACAAGCTTGCTTTCAGCTGGTATTAGACAATCTTTGAGAACCCAGTATTCCACAAGATCTCTTTATTTAAAGCAGGATACTACACAGCACGCTATTTTAGGAATTAGGAAGCACTGCCCTAGTTCTAATTCACATTATATATATTCATCCTTTAGATGTACTTGGTTATTTTACACACCATCTTAACTAATCCTCAGTGTAGTCCTACAGGGTAGATTAAAAAAAAAAAACTTCCCCATTTGTGCATTAAAAACACTGTTTCAGAGAAATTTGTCTGTTTTGTCCAAAGTGTTTTCACTAGTGGGTAGCAGATCCAGGATTAAGTTCTCTCTGACTCCTTTAAAGACTATCCACCAGGCAGGATGCTCCTGAAGTGAAAGGGATCTGGGGTTATTGTTCCAAGTGGCTTTCTTCCCAGAAACTGTGAGGGTTTTAAAAAAAATTGTTCATTAGTTTGTCTGTCTATTTAGATGAGGATAGAGGTTTTTCTCAGTCCTTCTGAAGTATAAGTTCTTTGAATGTAGAGACTGTGACTATCTTTCTTCTTGAAAACAGACACTAGCAGATACCCAATACACTGTGACTTCTCTGAGTCTTGCCTGGGGTCCACTTCCTTTGCAAAAGGGCATGTTGCCCTTGGACTTTGCTACGAACCATGTTTTTGGCTTTCTCCCCACACCCTGCTTAGTGCCCCCATATTCTCCAAAGCCCTCACAGGTGATGGCCTCTCTCAGCAGCAACCACTGTGATGGTTAAATGGCCTCACTTTTCATTCTCTCCCCTACCAAAGCCTCACCCCCAAGTTTAAAATACTTGCAAAAGATCTAAATAAGGTAATGTTAATCCTAGTCCCAACAAAAAAAATGGAAGTGCAGGGAGGGTAAAGTCAGCAATCCATGGCAGCAGTTATCTTAGTGTCATGGCTACTTTGTACCAGAGACTATACTAATAACTTCAGTCCTGTAAACTCAGTATTACTACTTCAATGACTTCATTCCAAAGAATACATAGAGCCTTGTAGATGAGGCAGCAAGATTAAGGAGGCAAGATGTATAGAAAACCTTTCCTAGTTCCCTAGTGGGTATTCTTGCCACTGGTGCTTCCATGAACCCCATTCCTTACTCTATCTTTCAGACCCTCCTTTATTCAAGTCCATAATCTTTATCCAGGCACATTTCTGGGTCAGTTTACTGGAGCAGAACACAACACTGAAAATCTGCTTCACATTTCCAAATCTCAGATTCTAGGCTTTTAATGAGAACTACCTTCCTCCTTATTCCCACTGACAAACATACAAACAAGCAAATAAAAACAAAAACACCATTTGGATTCTTTTCCATATTTATTGAAGTCAAAATTGGTGCCATCTCGGGTTCTACATACCCAGAGAAGCCCAGCCAATTGGTATGTGAAGATGCCACACACACCTGATTCTGAAGGCATGTGTTCAAGCTTTCTTGCAAGCACTGCTGAGTTTAGGGTGAGGAATTCCTTCATTTTCAATTCTCCCCTAAAGCATGGTGTAGCCCTGCATGTTCACTCATCTGACATATGCAAAAGACAATTGCAACCTGAGACCAGATGTGAGCCTGAGAGGTCACGAGACCATACCAAGTTAGACATCCCTTTTTATATTAAAGTACAAAGAAGCACTTAAGTCAGGAGAGTGACTGTGGTATGTAGCAACCCAGCAGGAGCCACCCAACCCAGGTGCTTTATTTTCTTCATTTTCAGTCAAGTAGAGTTAATGTAAAGATGCAACTTGAAAATTTGTTCATTGCTGATGGCTTCTGTCTCATAGACCTCCAATCTAGAGTATAGTACAAGGATGTGAGCCACTGTCTGTCTGCATTTAACAAAGCCCAAGAACCCTCTTGTAGAGCATTCCACCCTCCTGCCATGTGGACCAGCAGCCAAATCTCAAATGTGTCCAGGGTCTGTATGAGAAAAGCAATGCTTGTTTTAATCTCTATCAGAGTGGATTAAATTAATTATCTGGCTGCAATAATCCAGCCATTTTTCATAGACTGATTGACCAAAGGCACTTTGGCAGTCAATAGCAAAAGTATCATCTAATACAACAAAGCAGGTGCTCATCATACCGGCTAAAGAACAAAACAGCTCCCTTGAGAAGTACAGAAATTGGAGCCAAAAATGGAAACTACAGGGTCGAGGAATGTTGTATGCCCTCTTGTTGTCTCAGGAGGCGGGGTCATGCAATGGTATTAAAAGCCACAGTAGTGCTCATTTTACATCACCTAAAGAAAGCCATCCGGCTGCTAACCAGCTGTCACTGCTAGCGCCAGGTGTAGAGTCTCCCTCTTTTAATAATTCAGAAAACTAATAGGGGAAGAGCCTTATGAGTCATCAAACCCTATTGCTTCTCAATTTGCAGATAGGGGAACCAAGGCCCAGAATGGAGTGTGACTCAGTTAGGGAGCAGCAGAGGCAGATAACTGGGCTCCCAGTCTCATCCCATTGCCCCATGATGCTCTGGTCTCTGAAAAACATGCACATAGTATGATCTCCCATACAGAGGAGTAGTGCTTTCAGAATCAAAGGCCTAGACTCTGGGAACAGTGTCTTGCTTCTATTTCAGCTTCAGGTATACAAGTTGTATGGCCATAGGCAAGGTGTTTAATTACTCCATTCTTAAATTTGTCCACTTATAAACTGGAAATGACAATAGTACATATTTTGTAGGTTTTGCTTTGATGGCTAAATGAGTTAAAATATGTTTGACAATTAGAAGCATGCTTGCTACATAGAAAGCACAATTTTAATGTGTCATCATTATCACCAGCAAGCTGAGCAATCTGTGTGTCTGTTAAGTCACCCTCATGGTTCTACTCTTTGGAATATTCAATGGAAGCAGAACGTGGCTATAAACCCTCCACCCACTGAGACAGGAGGATTTTGAGTTTGAGGGTAGCCTGAGCTGCATAGCAAGAACCTGTCACAAAAACAAAACAAAACAAAATAACAACAACAAAAAAAAAACTTAAAATATTCCTTTGTTGCTCAAGACAATATGATAGGACAACTACTTTGAGCTTCAGAGTAGTTTCCAACTTAGTACATTCTATAGGCCATGTATGATTCCTTAGGATGTGCGTTAGGACTACCAGAGACCCAATAATCAGGCTAACTTCCATAAACGTCTGTGGAACCTTTTGAAGGACAATAGCACGATGCTAGAAACTGGGCACTGCCCTTATGGAATCCTCTATAAGAAAAATGCAGAGCAACATGAGCCAGATTTCAAGCTGTCAAGTAAATAGGACTTTTAGTCTATAGAATATTATATACATAGTAAGTCAAAGGGAAAAGGTACCTGTGTTGAAATTCTTGAGATAACAATAATTGCATGCTCTCTGCTACAGAAAGAGGTCTGGACTTCCCTAAGCAAAAGATTTCAATTAGACCCTCCCAAGGCAAGGCATAGATCCATGCCATAGGTTAACAGGCAAGTCAAATGATTTTGGTCCAGTCCAAGGAGACCCTGATCCTCATTGGCTTTTTAAAGCTTCTTTTTAGTAGGCCAGTGTACTTCTCAAGGAGGCAGTGTACTTCTCAAGATGGAAGAAAAGGCAAACCATCTTGTCTACATGTCTGTCCCTTTGTCACTGCTTTTACAGAAATGTCTCTCCATAGTTTTTAATCCTTTGGCAATATTTTATTTTGCTCTTACTGTGATATACTCTGATTGAGAGCTCTAGTCTTGCTTATGGCAGAGTTAAATACTGGTATATCTCCCCTTGGCACAAGGAAGCAGTGAAGACAATCCTAGTTCATGTGGTTTGCCTTCCTGAGGCAAAGCAGATGAGGAAAAAGGGACAGTGCTCATGATTCTGTGAATATATCTCCCAGTAGGGATATGGGAAAGGACCAGAGAGAAGGAAGAAAGAGGAGGGCTCCTTCAGGATTAAGCATCAGGTGGCCGTTTGTTCTGGTGGTGTTAAGTCATCTTTGTTGTTGGAGAGGCACCATTGATGGCTGGGATAGAACAATCACAATCTTTAAAATTCTCAAGGATAATTATTCATCCTTTCTCAGCAGCTTTTCCACAATTCCTAAATTATACAGACTAAGGATGCAAAGTCTGCAATATCCACACCTAGACTCTGTCCCTTTCCCTTTCTTCCCACTTCCCACCTGCTTCTCACCTCTCTAAGCCCCCTCCTTTCCCAGTGCCTATCTTCTTCCAACTCACTCTGTCTATACTGGATTCCATCTTCATGGATAAAGAACAATTATAGGGCCATGATGTCTTTCCTTACCATGGAGCCCTTCCTCTTCCTGTAACCTTTGGGCCCATGGGCCTAAATGACTCAGATCTCCCCACTTATTTTTCAAACCCCAACCTTTCAGACTAGGTGGTAGTGATTAGGGGATTCCAATGACTTTCCAGTTTGGGTTTACAAATCATTCCAGTGGGTATTTTCCATTTCTCTATACCTAGAAGGGCTGGGGTTGGGGGAGGAAGAGGAGGAAGGTTGGGATAGAATTTAAAGGAATGCTCCCAGAGAAGCATGTCTATGCATTTGCTTGTCAGGGAATAAGGATGGTATCCTTTGTTTATGTGCTAATGGGTCTGTTTCTCTTTCCCTTACACAGGGCCTGGAGCAGTCATTGATGGTGTAAACTCGGCCTCTAGAGCACTGGCATGTCTGTGGCTCTCAGGGACCCTCTTTGCCCACTTCTTCATCAAGTTTTGATAAGAAATCATAGGTCCTCTGAGCAACGCTTGCTTCTCCATATCACAGACTTTAATCTACACTGCGGAGGGCACATCTGCTTGGGCTTCTTTTTGTTTGTTTCTGTTCTCTTTAATTTTTTTCTTTTCTGGATTTTTTGATTTATTTGAATTTTTTTCCAGTTAAAGTGAGTGGGGTTGGGGGAGGGTTGGGCAGGGTTCTACCATGTGTAGGATAATTATTCATTGGTGTGTTCAAAAATGGAATCTGTTCCTGTTACCTTGACCCTTCCTTTTTCTCTGCTTCTCTTCCCACCATCATTAACACCAATCTTTTCTCTTTCTCTCACGTATACACACACACACACACACACACACACACACACACACACAACCATGTGGGCAAAAAAATGTGCCTCATGATAACACCCTGAAGACACAACTTGACTCACAATGTAGTGTATGTACAGCAAGAGTTGCATCATGAGTTCTATTATCTTTGTCTTTTAAGCTTTCAATCATTTTTGTAAGTATAATGTACATATCCTTCCCTCTGTGCTTACTATTATCTAATTTCATTAGGGTTCATGTATTTTCTTTGTAGGAAGTTATTTCACTATGTTCATATATATATATGCATATATATGTACATGTATATGTAAAATCTTGCCATCTTCTCTAGCCACTCTGCCCTCTTCATTTTTTTCACTAGCTGTAGAGATTACAGGCTTAGGGCTATGCATGCAACCCAAAACTACAAATTTAGAAGTCAAGTAACCAAAAAAGGGGAAGTATATTAAGGACAGTACTTCTCATAAAATATGGTCACTAGATGGCTAATTATTTAGGTTTCATGAAGCTGTCTATCAAAGTAATCGTGCCATTATCCATCTACTCAGTTGTCTGATTTATCTGTCCATCCAATTATCTACCCACCTGTCTTGCTGTCTAGCATTCTATTTATAATATTTATCATTCTCTCAATGTAATCGTCTAATATTTCTTTCTATTTCTCTCCCCACCACTCACTACCAATTCATCTCCATATTAATCTAATCATATTGTGTCTGTTCATTTCTCCTCTGCCATCAGCAGACATTGGCATCTTCAAAATTGCCAGTTAACTTCTCATGTGGAAGCCAATGATCTCACAGGTTAATTCCATAGAAAAGCAATATCCCATGTCTTGGACTCTTTGGAATGTGGTAACCCATCCACCCGAATTAGATGTTGTTAACAGATGGACCAAAGTAACAATCTAAAATTCAGTCACAATTCCCAGAAGACACTTTCCTAAACCACCTTCTTGGGAAGCAGATCAGCTCTAGAGAGCCTTGATTAGCACTGCATTTCTTCTTTCACAGCTGAAGGATTAAAGTACCAGCCTTCATGCTTCTCTCAGCCTTTCAAGAAAGTACATGTCAGGAACTTATAGGACCACTTTCATGGCTGGCTTTTGTTAGTAGCAAGAACCTTAAAGAAAAAACACATCTGTCTCTGCAATGCAAAGATAGAAGTCCACTTGCCAGAGTATGATAACTATAGCTCAGTGTCTTCTTTCTGCTCCAGTTCTGGTGTGAACTGTTTGAAAACTATCCAGTAAAAAGCTGATGGAGGCCAATTACATGGCGGGTGTGTTGACAACTCTGGTATTTGTTTCAGGAAGCTCTTCTGAGCTGAGGGCACTTGAGCAACTGACTTAATTTCTAAGCACTTGATTAACACAACACTGCAAACAGAAGGGGGAAAGTGCAAGTGACACAATTTCCTCTGATACAGGCTGCTTCTCTAGTGGATTGGGGAAGAATGACCCCAGCTTCCTGTGTTCAAAGCAAATTGGTGTACAAAGAAGAGCAGATCTGACCTTTCTGCATTGTCTCCTGGGACAAGAAGGACTTAGTCATCAAAGGAGCCTGTGATTCAAAAGAATAGCAGTGAAAACTACATAATGTTATGCCACAGGGACTGGCCTGCAGAGTGGTGAGAAGAAGCATCAACAGTGACATTCTTACAGACCTTCCCTGCCTCTGTAGGCAACCTTTTTCAGGACCATGTTCTAAAAGCTAGTAACTATGAGCTCCATAGAGTTCTGTTCTTTTAGTACTTAATTGGTTTCTTCCTCTGATATAAGTGCACTCAGTGTTTTTCCACCATCGCAACATGAGCACAAAACCCAGAATGAGGAAATATATACATATATGTGTACATATACACACATATATGCAAACATAGGCTACCTTGGTATACAAAAGTTAGGCACTGTCATAAGAGGTAGACCTGGTGTGAGCAAAATTAATATTACCCTTGGCAGCTATAAACAGACATCTGGATTTTCAAGTGATCTGCCAACAACCAGATCCTGAGAACATAAATGATTTGCCCAAACCAAAACAGTCTATGATTCTAAGTTCCAGAAACAACCAGGCACAAAGTCAGAATTAAAGGCTGAGCATACACCTTTCAGATCTGTCACCGTGCTCAGCATCTGGAGTTAGGTTGGTGCAGACATTGTTTGAGAGGTACATGTGCCCTTTGAGTGTGTGACTGATACTGTTTGTTATTTTGGAGTAAATGTGAAAGCTGTGGAGAAATGATGGTCTGGGAGAACATGGTGCTTGAAATGGACAAGCTGGAGCTGGTCCTCACTTCAAGACTTATAATAAAGGAAGGCAAGTGATCATCAGAATCTTTCAAATCCAACAAGGCTGGACTCAGGGTCACTATGGCACTTTGTTCTGCCCTCTTCACCGGACACTAGGAAGCACCTATTCTGGCCATGTTTCAGAGAGAAGAACATGCTACAGTCAATCCTCCGTCTGGGATAAAGAAAATCAAATACATAAGACCCAAGGCACTGGGGAACTGGAAATGAAAGTGTCTTCTCAACAGACACATTCCAGCTTCTGTGTTATTTGAGTTATTCTGGTGGGGATGATTCCATGTAATGATAGATGTTACCTAACATCATGAAGCATAGAGAACAGTGAATGATTACTAAACGCAAAATCTGCACTCACATACGCCTTTTCAACTTTACTCATAGCGGGTGGATGGATAAGTCCTATTGGATGGATTTGTTCAGTGGTGTCAATGGTGGGGGCGGGGAGGAGATAAGGGTAGGAAAAAGAAGACTCCTAGCAACATATAGCTCATTATTGGTTTTCCATGTGGAAAGAAAACCAAATAAGGTTTATCAGTAGTTTAGGTAAGAGGAATTCAGCAAAAGTTATAATTCTCAAACTCTTCCCTTCCCCCAGAACAAAGTTAACATGTACTTCCACCAAAGTAATGCCAATGCAACTGCTAGTGTTAAGTCCCTGGCCAAGCTTGTTTCTCAATAGTTTAATGTCAAGTGCCTGATATAGTCATCTGCAAGTCTAAACAAGTGTATTTAGCTTTTCTCATTCTTGTTTTAATTGAGGAAGGTGGAGTTTTAGAGGAGTGGTTGTCAAAACATGCACCTATTTTATGCAGAGAGCTCAGTGCATGATTGTTTAGTTGCAGGCTGCAATTGTGCTCAACTGAACAGAAGAAAAGTGACAGCTCTGTGTCAAACAAATCTGAGCTTCTTTCTTCTGAAGTCCACACCTTTTCCTACAGTATGCTGTTCTAGATTAAGCAGTTAATTCTCAAAACCTAGTAGGGAGCATGCTCAGAGTAGCAGCTCTGGAGTTGAGGCTGAGTTTACAAACTGTTTCTGTATCAGCCCAGTCTACTTGCCTTCAACAAAGAGGAATTAGCAAGTTCTACTTGCATTATGAGAGCTATCAAAAGAGCAGAGAACCCTAGAATGGGCAGTTGATCCCAAAGAGAGCTTAGGACAGCCACTGCAAGAATGGCTGGAAATTGAATACTCAAGTTTTGGTTGAAGCTTCCAGTGCCAATGTGCACCTGCGCTGTGTAGCTGTACATGGCTGTCACGAATTCCATCACAGATGGAAGGAAGGAATAGTTTAAAATAGTTTATGAGGTATCTTTCTCCAATTTGATCCTGAGTTTGCACCAGAGAAAGAAACACTGGCTTTGTAATACCTAGAATCAGTCCTCTCCTGCTCTCCCTTCTCTCCCCCAAAAAAGTCTGGTCCCTTTGAAATTAAAGGAAGCAGCATAAAACTTTTTCCTTTTTTGGCAAAAATGCATTTAAGTTTTTTTCTCCAACAGCAAGAATCTTTTCTTTTAATTTTTGCACAGCCCTGTTCCTGGAAACTCTTGTATTCAATTACTTCCCTTCCTGTTATACAAGGCTTCCCTGTCTCTTTCATTCAAGACAAGTTTGTGCAGTTGTGGTAAATCTTCACAGGTGTGTAACTAGGAAGGTAACATTTTTAAAAAGATAGCATATGAGGAGAACTCCTAACGATCACTAAAAGCAAACAAATAAAAATGCCAGTCTCATTTCCCTCATTTCTTACTTAAGAGAAGAGAAGTAAATGAAAAGAAGAAGAAATAGATTTGCAATTAAAAGATGTAGCAAAAAAAAAAAAAGAAAGAAAGAAAAGAAAAGAAAGAAACTGATATAGCTGAACTAGTGCAATTTAGCCTTCAGGTGCGGAGTAGTTGGAGCCCAAAGGAATGTGGAGTGGACTTAATTAGAGGCAATTGTCTTCATGGTGAAAGTAGTTAGCTAAACCTAATTTTCAGCATTTTGGAAGAGATTCCTTTTTGTTTCTTTCAGTGGTGCCCTTTTAAGACACACAGTTGTTCCACACCACTGGGTGGAGAAAGAAAGCTTGTGAACCCTCTACCATGCTTGAGGGGCTACATCCTACATTATCTGGCAGATTAATAAGGATATCAATAATAATGATAAGTAATAATAGCTGCCCTTGTGTTAGTAAAAGGGAGCATTTTTAATAATTCAGAAATTTTTGTGAAATGTAAAGTGCAATTGTGAGGAATGTGTGGGTGTAAGAAAATGTATCTGTCAAGTTCAGAGTCCTCTAGATTTAAAAAAATATATCAATGGTGCCGTTAATAGCTGTGTCAGACAATGGGTGTGCCCATTTTCACAATTATCTTCAAAAAAAATCTATGTTCAAATGCTTTAAAATTTTTATCACATGATACAAGAGTATAACTTTGTCAGCCTTTGAGAGTTCTTTTCCTTTTGTTTTCTCTATTTTTTCCTTCAAAAATCAATGAAGACTTGATTTCTGTCAATAATTGTATTGAGGGTGAATATACTACCTGAATTTTGTGCATGTTACATTGTAGTTGTAACCTTTTCTAATTCAGGATGAACATGAGATGGTTGTGATTGTGCAGTGTATCAATAAAGTTTGAAGAAATTTGTAAATTTTAGGGGGCTCTTTATTAGGACATCTCTTTGAGATCGAGG